TACAAGTCCAACAATACATTGTTATAATTATAAATTTACTGCACATAGTCATTTCCTTAGGCCAATACAATTTCATTTCCACTCGCTTCCATGTGTTATTATTAGCTACTATAGGACCCTTGGTGGGGCACTGTAGGATGAGCATTGGACTGGTAAGTGTAAAGTTGGTCATTTAAACCCACCAGCTGCCCTTGGAAACCCTATACAGGGTCGCTGTGAGTCAGAACCGATTGGATGACACACAACAATAACAGTACTAGCATTTGTTGTTGTTAAGTACCATGGAGTTAATTCCGACTCATAGCGACCCTGTACAGGGTTTCCGAGGCTGTAAATCTTTACAGGAGCAGAAAGGCTCATCTTTCTCCCACAGAACAGCTGGTAGTTTTGAACTGCCAACCGTATGGTTAGTAGCCTGATTTGTAACCACTATGCTACTAGAGATTACGCTTATATTACATTTTTATATGTTAAAGGACCAACTATACAGTATATACATGTTTGTTTTTTATATCGGTTAACAGAAGAAAATATGCATTTATAGTTTCTTTTGCATAATTAAAGCATTGCCTTTATTGGTGCTCTCTGTTTTTTCATATGACTTCTGGAAGAACATCATTTGGTACTTTTTGTATGATAGGTCTGCTACCATCAAATTCTTTGGGGTTTTTTGTTGCTGTTTTTCAATCTGTGAAAGTGTCTATTTCACCTTCTTTTTCTTTTTAACATTTTATTGTGGCGTGAGTGAAAGTTTACAGAGCAAATTAGTTTTCCAGTCAACAGTTTATACCCAATTTATTTCCTAAGTTGCAATTCACCAATGTACAGAACCCTTCCTGCTTTCTCCCTGGGCTTCTCATTTCCAACCCATAGCGACCCTCTATAGGGTTTCCAAGGAGCAGCTAGTGAACTTGAACCTCCGACCTTGCAGTTTAAATGGCTTTGCAGTCTGGCGCGTTAATTAACCCACAACGCCACAGCAGGACTCAGTCAATCTGGTCTTTTTTATGAGTGTGAATTTTGTTCTGTATTTTTTTCCTCCCTCTTGATCCAGGACTTTCTGTTGTGTTTTTCTCATCAGAGCAGCCAGTAGTGGAGGTACCTACATCGCCAGGTCTCCCGTGAGTGGAGGATAGATATGGCTGCGTGGTCCTTTATCCTTTGGACTCATGGTTTCCTTGAGTATTGTGTTTTCTTTACTCTTCTGTGAATTATGGCAAACAGAACCCATACTTTACTAAATTAAAGGCTTCTTCTTTCTCCTTAAGCACTTCGACTATGCAATCCCACTGTCTTCTGGTCCGCATTGTTTCTGCGGAGAATTTAGGTGTTAATCTTACTGAATTTCCCTTATAAGAGGCAAGCCGGTTTTCTCTTGATGTTTTCAAGATTTTCTTCTTGTCTTTGATTTTACAGTTTTATCATCTGCCTGTTTGTGAGTCCCTTTCCATTTATCCTACTTGGAGTTTGTTGGAGTTTCCTGGATGTTTAGATTCTTGTTTTTTGATATATTTAGGAAGGTTTCCATCATTATTTTTTCAGCTATTTTTTCTTCTCCCTTCTTGTTTCTCTTCTGGTATTTCCATTAGATGTATGTTGGTGTGCTTAATGTTGTTGTTGTTAAGTGCCGTCGGGTCCATTCCAACCCATAGCGACCCTGTATAGGGTTTCCGAGGAGCCGCTGCTGAGCTTGAACCACCGACCTTGCAGTTCAAACAGCTTCACAGTCTGATGCATTAACTCACAGCGCCACACCAGGATTCCTGTGGTGTACCACCTTGCTTTGAGACTCTGTTCACTTTCTTCATTTTTTTTTTCTTTTTCTGTTCTTTGATTTGCATAATCTCTATCAATCTATCTTCAAATTTGCTGATTCTTTCTTATGTCAGTTCAAATCTACTGTTGAGCCCATTTAGTGAATTTTTTATTTCAACTCGTGTACTTTTCAACTTTGGAAGTTCCATTTTATTTTTTTTATAATCTCTCCTCTTTAATTGACCTTCTGTATTTAATGTGACATTGCCATCGTATTTTACTTATTGAACCAGGCTTCCTGTTAGTTCCGTGTGTATATTTATTAAAGATCATGGAAATTTTCCATTGTCTTTTCATTCTATTTTGCCACCAACGTTTTCAAGCTGTCTTGTATAATGACTGCTTTGAAGTCTTTTCTGTTAAATCCTACATGTGGTCTAACTGTAGCCCACTGTGTTTTCATTTGGCATATGGGTCATATTGGAGTCCTGGTGTGGCACTGTAGGATCAGCACGGGGCTGGTAACCACAAGGTCGACAGTTCAAACACACCAGCTGCTCCTCAGAAACCCTATACAGGGTTGCTATGAGTCACAACCAACTGAATAGCATTCAACAACAACAATCTATACCGTTCTGTTTCTTCTAATGCCTCATATTTTTTGTTGTTGTGAAAACTAAACACTTTATAAAAGATGCTGTAGCAACTGTGGGTATTGTCGCCCCAACCCAGAGCTTGTCATCTGTTTGTTTATAAATGTATAAATATACAATCTCTTAGTAGAGTTCATTGCCCCTTTTTCATACTACTCACTCACACATACACACAGAGCAACACCTCTTACACTGTTCTTCAGGGAAACAAAACTTTGGGTACATCCACAGTCACCCTGGGGTGACTGTTGTTACTGTTGGTGGTAGTGCCATTGAGTTGGTTCCGACTCACAGTGACCCTGTATAGGGTTTCCAAAAGCAGCTGGTGAGTTTGAACTGCTAACCTTGAGGTTACCCAGTGCAGTACTTATCCTATACCATCACACCAGGGCTCTGAGATGACAGTTGTATTGTAATATTGGTACAGTTTTTGTTCTCTCTTTTTTCCTAACAACATTCAGCTGTTAATTGCTCTCTTGAATTTTTCCAACAATGACCTGGGACATAAATTGCTTCACAGATGAGTCCAATCATATTGTGATGGCACTGAAGTGACAGTTTCAGAGGTCAGTGTTTGAAACTTGTTTTCAATTCAGAAGGAATTTTCCCAGCTATCTCTGGGAAATTCTATATAGAGTCACTATGAGTTGGAGCCAACTCAACAGCACTTAACAACAACATTACATAGAGGAGTCCTGGTGTGGTGCTATAGGATAAGCACTGGAGTGGTAATTGCAAGGTCAGCAGTTCAAATCCACCAGCCACTCCTTGGAAACTATATGAAGAGTTGTTATGAGTTGGAACCAACTCAACGGCACTTAACAACATCTTACATATCAGCCAGCCTACAACATACATGTGCAAATATATATATACACATATAAATAGAGAGAGTGTGTCCTGGTGTGGCACTGCAGGGTAATGCACTGGACTGCAAGGTCAGTTTGAGCTACAAGGTCAGTGGTTCAAACCTACCAGCTGCTCCTCAAAAACTCTATACAAGATCACTGAGAGTCAGAACTGACTTGACAGTACTTAACAACAGTTGGTGTTGGAGGAGAATACTGAGAGTGCCGTGGACTGCCAAAAGAACCAATAGCTCTGGTTTGGAAGAAGTGCAGCCAGAGTGCTCCTTGGAGGCCAGGATGGCTAAGCTTCGTCTCTCATACTTTGGACATATTGTCTGGAGGAAACAGTCGCTGGAGAAGGATGTCATGCTGGGTAAGATGGAGGGTCAGAGAAAAAGAGGAAGACCCCTAACAAGATGGATTGGCCAGGTGGCATCATTGATGGCGTCAAGTGTGGCAGCGGTAGTGAGGTTGGCCCAGGATCGGACATTGTTTCGTTCTGCTGTGCATGGGGTCACTATGAGTCGGTTCCGACTCAATGGCACCTGACAACAACAACAACAACAGTATTTCTCTCTCTCTCTTAGAGGGTGAGAGAGAGAGAGAGAGACTCCTGATGTGGCACTATAGGATCACACTGGACTGCAAAATACAAAGTTGGCAGTTCAAACTCACCAGCTGCTCCTCAGAAACCCTACATAGGGGCACTATGAGTTGGAACTAACTTGATGGCACTTAACAACAACGCATGTATGTGTGTGTGATAAAATGTCTGAATTTGCTCACTTTTAATAATAATAATGGGATTATAGAGGAATTGGAAAAGGAAAAACTGCCCCCCCGTTTTTTTTTGCAGTGAGTGTATATATTTCATTTGCATTATAATAACAATAATAAAAGGTAGACTGCAAATCTCAAAAACAAAAATTAGCTTCCTGCACCCCATGACAAGTTACATGGCCTGTGACCGAAGACCAGAGTCTCTGTCACGTTTAGCGGTGTCTCCTACCAGGATCGGCACCTTGTGAGGCCAGAGACATAGACCCTGGACCATGGATTCAGTCTCCATTTTCAGTGACTAAAAAATATACAACTTAAAATGACCTCATGCAAAACTGTTCTGTTCTAAGGAGGTGCAAAATCCTCCCTGAGTGCAAAGAAGGCAGAAACAGGAGAATTTGTCCATACAAAGATGAGGAAAAGTCCTTGTGGCAAAGGCCTAGGCTGGACCAGTCGAGGTGGTGTAGAAGGAATAGTCAGTCTCTAGACTGGGAGAAAGGCCTGGAGGAGAAGTGCGGGAAGGTAATGAGGCCTCGGAATCCCTGAACTGAATCTCTCCTGTGGTGGGCAGGAACGGGGAGGGTGTAGAGCCACTGAAGACCTGTGGTCCCAGGTGGGACTGGTGAGAGCGACAGCCTGCAGGCAGGGCTGAATTCTCAAGGGCACCATACGCCCACACTCTAATCAGGAGCCCCAGGGCTGACCCCAAAGATACCTTCTTAGATCCACCTGACCCTCCTCCTCACCTCTTTCCTCTAGTCTTACTCACTAGCTGTGGCATGCCAGCTAACACCCCCCTGGACTGTGAGACCCACTCAGGGTGGCAAGCACACACACATGCCCCCATGCTAGATGAATACACATCCAAGTGTTGACCCAGCCTCCCCTGCGGCTACTCTGGAGCTAGATTCATCCACGGGAAAAAGAAAGGAAAAGCAGAGTGGTTCAACCCCGTGGCTTTTACCTCACAAGGTTGGTGCAGGGCCCGGGCCACCGGCAGCTCTGGTACACACGCTGGACCACCGTCTCTGAGCCGTTCTGCACCTGGCAGGACACAGTCCGTGTCACTGTGTGATGGCACCAGTGCCTGCGGGGAGAGGAACAGTCATGTCAGCCCCACCTGACTGCAGGTCGGAAGGCCATACTGGCCGAGGGGCCCTCCACAAACCTAAGATGCTCATTCTCTTGGGCAAGAGGCCCATTGAGACCTTGAGTGCATGCTGCTGAGGGAAGAGAGAGCACCTACAACCCTGGCTGCCAAGCCCTCAGCCAGTCAGTCATCGAATACACCTTGTGGAATCAGTAATAAGGAATCAGTGTGAGGAAGACAGATCCATAGGAATGCAGGTGACAGGTACAACCCATGGGTAACACAGGGAGCTATGGGAAAGAGAAGGGCCCCCAACCCAGGAGTTCCTAAAAAGGCCAAACAGCTGAGTGCCGATGATAACTGTTGGCTGACCAAAAGTGTGGAGACATTGAGAGGAAGAAAAGAGACCATAGCATGTCTAGGGGCTTGCACTTTTTTTTTTTTTTTTTTTACAAGAGGAAGGGGAGAAGCCAGCAGAGTGGTGCATTACCTACCATGCTAGAGGTGGGGTTTTTCGTGAAGTTAGTGGGGAGTCATTGAAGAATTCCAAGCAAGAAAGTGACTTGGGTAGAATAGCCCCACTGACTTCAGTGTGTAGGACAAAATGGTCAGGAGAGATGAAGGCAGGGAGGTCAGTGAGAGAGCTGAGATCCAGAGATAAGTTATGGAGGCCAAGCTTGGGCAGTGACAGTGGAGGGGAAGGGGACATGTGCAAACAAAATAAGTGGGTCAAGATGGCAAACACAGCACATGTTCCTGTGTCCCCTTCCTATCCTCTTTTCATAGAAATTTGAAATCTAAGGAGTTCCTAACCATTGGAAAATGAGAAGCAGCAGGCCAGAAAATTTGAAGACTCCCAAAAGACAGAACGCAGATGAGACTCACTTGAAAGAAGAAGGAAGTATGCAGAGATGAGGATGGGGGCAAATGGTAGGAGCCGTGTAGGAGCAGCCGATGGGACTGATGGAGCATGAGGGGGACCCAAACGTGATTGCCAAGGGATTGGTCAGAGTGACCAGTGTTTCCTACCCTGCTGGTGTCAGGAACCAAGCCTGGGACTCACCTGCCCTGAGACAGGAGTGGTCAGAGTGGATGGATGCCTGGCAGTGTCTTAAAATCTGTGACCTCCAGAATGATTCAGAAACCTCCCCAGGCCAGACACTGAATTCTCTCACACATCTTTCCCCACCCTCCATACATCCCACCAAGCCTCCACAGGAGACAAAGCTGTAGAAAACAGAGAGGGACAGAAGGACAAGCTAATGGGAAATCCCAGATATGAAGAATTTCAAGTTATTTGAAAAAGAAAAGTCTAATAAATCAGACAATAAATTACACCTGGTTGGGGGGGGGGAAGGGGAAGCAACAATAAAGCAAATCAATGACAACAGTTTTTGAAGTATAATTAATGTTTTGATAAGACAGAATTCTGCACCCATAAAAAATAATAATTTTTTAAATTGGATTTCTTTGAAATGAAAAGTATGACTGCCAAAATTAAAAGCTCAACAGATAGGCTGAAAAACAGAATGAACTCAGCCAAAGAGTGAACTCCTAGTGGGTGCTGTAGGATCATCACAAGGTCAGCAGCTCAAACCCACCAGCTGTTCCTTGGAGACCCTACACAGAGTCACGATGAGTAGGAATTGACAAGATGGAGGAATGGAGGAAGACTCATTAAAGCCTGCCATATGACGATGACACAACCTTGTTTGCTGGAAGCTAAGAAGACTGAACATACTTATTGATGCAGCTCTAAGACCACAGTCTTTAGTATGGATTGCATCTCAATGTAAAGAAAACAAAAATTCCCACCACTGGACCAATAAATAACATCATGATAAATGAAGAATAGATTGACGTTACCAAAGACTTCCTTTTGCTTGGATTCACAATCAACACTCACAGAAGAGTAATAAGAAATCAAGCAATGTATTACATTAAGCAAATCTGTTGCTCAAGACCGCTTTCTCCTTCTTCTTCTCTGCCTATTCCCTTGAATTTTATACTTTCTGTCTCTGCTTTTGCTTTTGTTTTTCCTTCTTCTGGTTCTCATTTCCTCTCTTCTACTTTTTTTTCTTTCCCTTTTGATCTGTATTTGCTACTCTCTCTTTTCATCTTCCCTCTTACTGGTTTTTCTAAGTGTTTTTAAAGTTTCTTCCTTTTATTTCCTTCCTTATTTTTCTCTTCTATAGCTCTATTTCCCTGCCTGATCTTTTTTTGTTGTGGTGGTTTTTAACCCCTCTTCATTGTTGGTTCCTTGTTTGTTTATTCTGTTTTGTTTTCTTGTGTGTATGTGTGAGGGGGTGTTTCTCTTTCCCGCCCACAGGAGACAGCAACAGTGCTCATACAGCCCAGTCACAACCATACCCTCTGCAGCTCCACGCAGTGGACAAGAGCCAATAGCAGCTCCTATCCCATCTGAGCAATGATAGACAGCAGCCAACACCAGCCAAACCCACCCTTAACTAAGGTGTATGAGAACGAGAACAGAGTACACACTTCCATTCTCTAACTACACCTACAGGAGACAGTTGGTGACAGATTAAGAGTGTATCAAAATACAACCATCAATTAAATACAAATGCAGCAACCCCACAATGCCTCAGAGACAACAATTTTCACTCACACAAAGAAACAAGAGCGAATGGCTCAAACAAATGACCAAGATGCAGAGCCAGAAAATGTTTCTGAGATAGAAAAGCTAATGGAACTAACTGAAAAGAGTTCCAACAAATGATACTTCTTGTTGTTAAGTGCCGTCGAGTTGGTTCTGACCTATAGCAACCCTGTATGAGGTTTCTGAGGAGCAGCTCGTGAGCTTGAACTGCTGACCTTGCAGTTCAAATAGCTTTGCAGTCTGGTGCATTAACCCACACCAGGGCAGTGCCTTCAAATGATTGACTGAGGAATTAAGAAAAGCAAGGAGAACACAGATAAAACTTCAGAAGAATTCAGGAAAACACTACAAGAACAAACAGGCAATGTAAATACAAATTTTGAAACAATACAAAACCTGCGATTAGAAATCCATTAGATTAATACTAAGGTTTCAGAAATGGACAATACATTGAAAGAGCAAAGGAGTAAAGTTGAAGCAATGGAAATCCAAATAGCTGAGCTTAAAGATAAATCTCTCAATACTAGTATGTTAGAAGAATAATCAGAAAAAAAGACCGAAAAAGTCCAAAGTCATGCAGGACATCATGAAGAGGAACGACGTCTGAGTGACTGGAATTCCAGAACAGGAAGAAACAGTGAAAACACAGAGAAATTTGTTGAAGAGTTGTTGGAAGAAAACTTCCCTAACATCATGAAAGACAAGAAGATAAGCATACAAGAAACAGAATGAGCTCCATACAGAATAGGTCCCAGAAGAAAATCACCAAGACATGTCATAATCAAACTTTCCAAAACTAAAGACATGGAAAGAGCCCTGAGAGAAGCTCAGGGAAAACAAAAAGTTACCTACATAGGAGAACCAATAAGACTAAGCTCTGGTTTCTCATCAGAAACCATG